AAAATAAGAAACACTAGGCTAATCTTATTCTTGCGACATTTTAAATTCGTATTGCCAAAGAAATTACAGCTAAATTAAACAATTAAAACAGTACAAAACGAAAATTGTCCAAAGAAACATATTTAAATTAAAAACATGCGTTTCTCTTTGCCTCTCTCGCGCTGGATCTCTTTTTAACAAGTTTATTTAGTCTCCCTCGCTCTGATAATACTGTATATGTCGCTGCGTGTCAGCCATACAAATCACGAAAAAATTATTTAGCCTTTAATTGTTGCTTCAAAGACACAGCATGCCTTGTTGAATTCACCGTACAATAACTTCAATTGAAATTTTGTGTGAAAAAAAACTTTAAATAGGCTACAATAAATAAACTACAATATTTATAATATACTAAAACTACTATTATAAATTTATATAAAATATGGGGCCTACATTTGGACACAGATTTATCCTTACAATAATTTTGCCTGCTCATCAGGCTGGCTATCCGACACTCTCCATATGAAAGAGGAACATTAACACCTTTGTCCAGCAACTGTCCCTCCAACCCCCCACAGGCTATCGGAGTCTGAGGCTGACTTAACACAAAGAGAAGTCGCAATTCACACTTAAATCGCTATTCTAGACAGTGTTGATAATGAAGGAATTAAATGGAATTACATGTAGCCTAGTGATATTTCTGTCATAAAAGTTTATTACTAAATATTTCATTATTTCAATAATTGATGAAATAAAACTGGTTTGGGCCAGCTTTTTCCAAGCAAAACTAAATATAACCTGAAAAAACGCTTGTTAATTTGTTGTCATGAACAAAATGTTCAACTCAATATTAAATTCTACAGGGATCTTTGGATCCTTACAACCAGGCATGCAATTTGTGAATTAAGTTTTTATTTGATTTTGTATTATTCAAATAATATCGAAACACGGTGCTTCGTGGTAATGCTGCTAAAGTAAATAACATTTATAGAACAATTATGAACTTAAATGAAACAATATCGCAACATTTCGACAAATACATTATTTGATCTGTTTTTACATTTTAATTCAGGGCGATTTAGCCTACATTTAATTAGAGCGAGATTTTCACCCATGTCATTTTCTCATTGGGAAGCGCTTACATTGCATGTTTGAGTAGATCCTCTGTTCCTCTAGTTTTCATATGGATTAGCCTATAATCAGATAACATTTATTAGCCTAAATATTTAGACATTTAAAGGCTTTAGACATAGCCGATTTCTTATCGTGACTGAGCTGAAGTGGCTTTCGGTTCATTTTTGTGACGCGCAGTTCCCGGAGACAGAGACGACAGATAGCCTATACTGTTTTTGTCGTTAGCCTAATACGAATACAAGTTTACAGTTTTGAACGATGTAAGCTACTCTACTCTTATCTGTATGACCAAAAAATTACGGAGTCGCCTACTAAGTTATTTTAGCTGTAATAATGAGAAAAATAAATGAATCTAAATGAACGCGCCGCCGTGTTTGTCGAACACTAACTCACCATGCCAGAATAAACCCGACTTTAGAAAAATGCATAGGGCCACTCGGCGTGGTGTGCCAAAACACTTAATTATAAACTTCAATATTTCATTCAAAATAATCTCAACACGCTTTGTGAAATTTGAAAAGCCGTGCATGCATTAAGGCCACTGGAACTAATGAACAAACGCTGGTTTTGATTTTATTGTTTGTCGTTTAAACGTGCCTGTTGCATATCTCTATTTTATATATTTGATAGTGAAGTAGCCTATAGCATTGATTAGCTGTGGAGGGAGGGGTGTGGGGATTAAAATAATTCAGCAGAAGCAGGGATGTTTAGACCAGAAGGAAATCCCAGTCCCCCCTGGCAAATCACACTTTACTTAAAACCATGTTTTTAAAAACTCTAGGTTAGGGAACAGACCTCTCTGCCATGCGCGCGCACGGTTTGGAGCACAATATCTGTCTCGCATGCACGCTCGCTCTAGATAGATTACGGGATATTTTAACTAATTTGCGGTATAATAACTAGTCGATCACGAGTGGCTCAACAGGTATCTATAGATAAACTATATCCTTCAGGAATTTGACCGACCGGGTTGACACTTCAGCGTGAGAAATCGGGGGTGTGCCATGAGAGCCTGGAATAAAAAAAATTATATATATATAGCCTATATATATAGGCTATATATAATTTATTTTTTTACAGAACTGCTTTTGAAATTACGATTGGTAGCCTATTATTATACAGATGCAAAGTCGTTCTGTAGGATACTATTTTGTTTTTTTGTATTTTTACTTAGTGTGAAATGGAAATGCATGATAATTGTATTTTATAAATATAAGCAAAAAAAAAAACTGTATGGTGTAACAGAGTTTTAGAGCTAGACAAATCTCTTTGCAATAATAAATATAAAATTTACAGCAGACCATGTTTGTGCGGGATTTGAACCCGTGTCATCTTGATGATGAACCGTAAGTTCTACCGCTCAGCTATGAATTTTCTCACTGAGAAATACTCAAACGTCTGTTTCTGACATGAGCAAGAAAACGTTTTGTCTTTAGCCTGTGAGAGTGTAGGCCTACTTTAGCCTTTTAAAGTTTTAAAAGATTATATCTTATCTGTATGACCAACAATTTGTTGTAGGCTTATTTGGAAATTACCATAACTTGTAGTATTTCATCCTTAGGCTACTGTTAATAGACATTAGCCCCACTTACGTTTTGCTAAATGTCCCTTTGCGCCACCTGGCGGTCATTTCGCGAACGACTTTGCAATGCGACTGGTTTATTTTTACCGCGGTGGATGGCTAAAAATGGTATGTGGATGGCTAAAAGGTGTGACTATAAATGTGCTTTTGGCTTTCATTTAAATTTTGATTGTTTGTATATATATATATATATATATATATATATGTGTGTGTGTGTGTGTGTATAAACATTTATTTATTTATATACACTACCGTTCAAAAGTTTGGGGTCGGTACGATTTTAAATACTTTTAAAAGAATTCTCTTCTGCTAACCATGGCTGCGCTTATTTGATTAAAAATACAACAAAAATCAGTTATAGTATTAAATATTATTCCAGTGTAAATCAGCTGTTTTCTGTGTGAATATATAGTAAAGTGTAATTTATTCCTGTGATCAAAGCTGAATTTTCAGCATCACCAGTGTCAGTGTCTTCAGTGTCAAATGATCCTTCACAAATCAGTATAATATGAGGATTTGATGCTCAAGAAACATTTATTATTATTATCAATGTTGAAACAGTTGTTGGTCTGTCAGTTGTACAGTTTTTTTGTTTGTTTTAGGATTCTTTGATGAATAGGAAGTTCAAAAGACTTTTGTAACATTATAAATGTCTTTACTGTCACTTTCGATCAAATTAATTATTCCTTGATAAATAAAAGTATTGTTTTCTTTCCTCCAAAAAATAAAAATAAAATTCTCACTGACCCCAAACTTTTGAACGGTAGTGTATATATATTGTCCTTGCATTCTTTCTTGTGTGACACCCCTGATTGAAAGGCTCATTAGTATGCAGTCTGCTCAGGTGAGAACTGCCTAATTATTCATGAGGGGGTTGGGCCGTTCCACCCATCCGCATATTGCCTTTGCAAACAAAAAAATGTTTTTCACAATTTAAAACAATCTATTGTTTTATGTGAATGATAAGGCAGAATGATTTTCAGATCAATTTGAAGCAAAAACTCTAGGCGATAACATCCACTAGTCAAAAGTCTTGTGGACAGATATTTAGTATGTTATTTGTGGCCTTATATTATAAACTTTATTTTTTAGTTTTTTCAATAACCACGCATAAACAATATTCTCTCAAAAATACAAACATGTACATACATGTTGCTCACATATTATGGTAGCCCTGTGTGTGCTATATACAGTGTAATTTCACCTGTGCCATTAATATGTTTATAAGCAACTGAAAAAAGCACAAATGTCAGAGCATGCCAAAACATCTCAAGGACCCCGAAAACACCTCAGACCCCAGAGGGTTAACGACGATTTGAGACAAATAAATGTAAATTTAATATAAAACTATGTAAATGGGTCTCTGTGGCGCGGCGGGATTTTGAAGATGTGGCGTTGCGCGACGCGGCGCTGCACTTCTCGTCCGGTGTGCGACCCCTTCACCCACCTATTATGTAATCGCCACGAACCAATGGTAGTACTTTGGCAAACAGTTTAATTCGTTTTGGTCTGATTTTGTCCGAAATGACGTCACACCAGTTCATTCTTTGATTTTGCTTAAAGTATATCAGGGCCTTAAAGGGTGACCCCTTTCGGATGCCCATTTTCCACAAGTTGGTATGATTCTTTAGGGTCTTCATGTAAAGTTTGTAACATACTTTGGTTAAAATTCCTCAATGGTTGTGTAAAACAACTCCCTTTTACCTCCTCAAACACAGCTCTGTTCACAGCGACCCGTTTCGGTGCATGTCTCTATAAATCTATATTATCAAATGAGCAACTGCTCACCCCACCCTCTCTTCCATGGGGGGTGTCGACACAAGACACGTAAAGTGCTGCCATGGCAATCTGCCTCGCAGAAAGTATATAAATGGCTGAGGGCGGAAATATGCTAATACGGGACAGTCCGTCCGTGGTCGTGGGCGGAGCATGAGCAAATGACTTAGAATGACTTCATATTGCTTAGAAAATCCAAACGGCTTGATTATTGGGAGTGTTTAGGCTTTTTGAGGATAAAAAAAAAAAGGAGTGAAAGGATTTTTTTTTCATTGTATGGTGGTTGTCCACACACACTGAGAACACACATTTACATCCAAACACCATATAAAAGTGAATTTTCCATCCGATGACCCCTTTAAGTCACTAAAGCTGTCAATGCTGTCAAAATGCGACCTAGGCACTTGCCATGGTGCCATGGCACTTGATATGCCAGGATGCCTCCACTGATCAGCAATAATACAACAATAATATTTTGTATAACATACTTTTCATTATTTTTATTTCACATGTTTCATTGCCAATCTAGAGGAAAAAGACGGCATTTAATGGCTGTGACTTCCTGACTGAATGGCTATACAAGTGAGTGGGAGAATTGCGACCCTTTGTGTACTGCCAATATTGTGTGGTTATTTTGTTGTGACTTTTATACATACAGTAAAAATGGTTAAGTTTGTCTAAACATATTCTTTACTCTCTTGTTTATCAGTAAAAACCCTCAATGGACAGAACGAACACCTACGAATTTTCACAATATTCCTTTTGTCCAGGACTGGTTTCTAAAACAGTAAGTTATTGCCTTATAAATACTCTGGTGTCCCTGTTGCACATTTCTTTATCGTTCTCTCTCTCCCTCTCTCTCTCTCTCTCTCTCTCTCTCTCTGGGTAGGGGCAGTGGTGGACAGACAACAAAGTATTTCTACTTTGTTACTGTACTTAAGTAAATTTTTCAAGTGTCTGTACTTGTATCCATATTTTTATCTTCGGGAAAATTTTACTTCACTACATTCCAAAGCATGATATCGTACTTTTTACTCAACTCTGTTTTTTGTTTGTTGAACATCAATTACATTTTTACCCTTAAATGGGTTTGGAAGTTTTTTGTATGTCCTATGTGATGATATCTAGGTGAAAGAGTCTCTATGTGATGGGATTTATCTGACCTGGGTGACGTGAGACAGCTAGCAGACGGTCGTTTTAGCCAGTCTGTCTGCTTCCTGACCTGATCCCCAATTCATGTTTGAGGTCTGAGCCATATTACTAGAGAGAAGAGCAGCACCATCCCAGGAGGCAGATCTACATGCATCGACCTGGCTCATGTGTCTTCGTACTGGTCGCTGGAGATGGATGTGAGCTGAATCCCATACTCTCTCGCTCTCCTGAAACCGGTAGTTGACAGCCGGGATGTCCGATGGCTCCCCTGACCAGGGAAACAGAGGAGGCTGGTAGCCGAGTATGCACTGAAAGGGGGTGGTTTGACGGAGAGAGTTCTGTGCATACTCGGCTCAGGGGAGGAAGCGACTCCAGTCGTGTTGGTGTTGGTGGCAGTAAGACTCTCCAGAGTCTGGCTGTTGGTTTGGTGATGGTATTCGGATGAGAGACTGAGAGAAATCCCCAGGAGTTGGAAGGAGGAGTGCCAGACACGAGACATGAACTGGGTTCCACGGTCTTCGGGTAATCCGAAATCACATAAAACGTGTTGAAATGAGGGTTCCGCTTTTCCCAATGCTGTGGGTAACCCTCTCAGGGGGATCAGTTTGCAAGCTTTTGAGAATCTGTTGACGACAACCAGGATGAAAGTGTAGTAGGTAGGTTGTGGGACCAAGGACAGTTGGGGATGGGTAATGGAACCAGTTTACCGGAACAGGCTGAACAGGCCTTGACGAATTGGGAGACATTCTGGGTAATTTCTGGCCATCAGTACTTGTTTTGGAGAAGCGAGAGGGTTCGCTGGCTGCCTGGATGTCCAGAGCTCAGAGACGTATGGACTGAGTCCATGAGGGACAGACGTAGAGCCGGTGGACGTAGGCTCGTCCCTTAGGACCTCCCGGCGGAGCGGGTTCCGATTTTGAAGCTTCGTCAATTTGTTTGTCCAAAGACCATTGGATAGGACTCACGATGACGGCTGGAGTGAACTTGACGGTTTGGGCAGTTTGCGGTAGTCGATACACGGCCTCAAGCCACCGTCCTTCTTGCCTATGAAAAGAAGCTTACCCAAAGTAAGATCCAAGATGGAGGTGACTTTTAGTAGAACAGTAAAGAAGATTTTTAGCGGAAAAACCGTGGTCCTCTGTTGCATTCATATAATGCAAGTCAATGGGATCCGACATTTTGAGATAAAAAACAAAACAAAAACGAAACAAAACAAACTTATTAGCAGTGAGTTAATAAATTAATTCATAAATTAAAAGCAGTGAGTGATTTTCTCTTTGTCGTTTCATCAACATTAATGACACAGACAGCAGCCGTATTTTAGGTTGCTGCCACTTTAAGAGCTAATGCACGGACCCAATATATTGATACACATACCCAGTTGATGCAGTTTGGAGGAAAAAGCTTGGGATTGACGATGAAAACTGTTTTGGAGAGGGCTTTACAAACCACCATTGAATATGAAATCTGGAGACTTACAATAGAGAATTCTGCATGGCGTCATGGTGGTTCATGGTTTTATTTCTGTTATTAATCCAAGTGTTAAAGATGATAAGTGTGCGTTTTGTGTGGTTTTTTTATGCTGTTGCATTGTTTTTTAGGATGTGTGGGACTTTTTGTCTTGCTGAGTCAAATATTTTTCAAATTTGGAGAACCACAATGCTTTTATTTTGGGGCAGGGTACAGTCAAAAACTGGGTAAAATATCAACTTCATGATTGGTCTAGCAAAACTTGCAATGTATACAAGTAGGAAATATACAATAGAGAATAGGCTTGCTCATGAGATTATGTGTCTGTTTAAAGCCTATATCAAGTCTAGGAATTGTTGTTGATTTGAAATATTATAAAGTAATGAACGATATGCCATCATTTGAAATGCCTCTTTTCTTTGTCAGCCCCAGGAAGCACCTTCCGGTTTCTCTACTTTTAACAGACGAGCAAGCTGCAGTTTTGATCCAGGCATTCTGGAGGGGATATAAGGTAATACAAAATAATACCGTCTGAAAGGGTTGCAGAGATGCTACCTGTCAGGGTTGCATCTCTGCTCTTTATCTTATATATATTGTTTTCTGTAGGTATGTCCTGCAGTGTGCTATCAGAGTTCCTCTGAAATTCAACTGCTTAAGAAAACTGTCTATAAAAAACAGTCTATAATGGGGCAAAGGGGGGCTTTTATAAACTGCTCTTGACTATATCATTCCAATGCTATTTGGATACAACTATCAATCCAATGAATAAACTTAAGGCTAAATTACTGTAATCAAAGCATTTCTTTTATTAAATACATGGATTCTGGCCTCATTTGATTTCACTCAAAAGCTGGCCAAAATTGCTCATAAAAGATGGCAGTACCAGTAATGGTGGGCAACATAACACAAAAGTATTACCCCCTCTTTATTTATAATATGCAAAGCTGTAAGTAATGGCCTAGCTATAGTGCGACCAGTGATGCTGGTAACGCGTTACTCGGTAACGCGTTACTCTAATCTGAACACTTTTTTCAGTAACGAGTAATCTAACGCGTTACTATTTCCAAACCAGTAATCAGATTAAAGTTACTTATCCAAGTTACTGTGCGTTACTATTTTTGTCATTTTCTTTAGTAGAAATGATGGCTGATATGCGATATGAAACTGAAATGTGTGTGAGAAGGCAGAATCACAATCACCCAGAGTGAGTTAGCTATCCTTCCCGTCCAGATCCAATGCTACCACATCTTTAAATTACTATTCGTATTATTTTAAGTTAACATTATAAAATACGTAGACCTACACCACAAAACTAGTTGAGGATAAATTCTTTAGAATTGGGCAATTCTAGCGTTATGGACGTGACAAATTCTCAGAAAATGCATTTAATACTAATATATTGAAGCGTCTGTTTATCCATACTCCCTTAATAATGTCTGGACAGACATTAGAAAAATATCATTCTATCATTCTAAATATCATTATATTTAATATGAGGGAAATACACATCTGTAACGGACGTGACACAAAAAATTGTAACTTTTAGTTGGCAAAAGTACAAAAAGTATACTACCCACCGGACGAAGAAGGGTTGGCTCTCCACAGAACATAAAATATTCATTTTGTCTTATTTTTCGTGCATTTATGAGGGAAAAACATGCACGGACGTGACCGCTCTGAAAGCGGCACTGAAAGACTGCTTTAAAACTTTCACAGAGACATCAAACAGAAAGCACAAAGCCTTTCATTAAGGTGAATTTCGTTTTGTATTAATTGTATCTTCATTTTAATAAATGTTTTATCAACCAATTGCCTGGATTTAATAAATAAAAAGTAAATATAGCAGACAATAGATAATCACGACACGGAGGCGCCGGCGCGTCTCATGAGTCATAAATGAACCGAAACACAGCGTATAAGGTAGGCCTATACTACTTGCCTCACACACACACCTGAGAAATATATCTATAGAAAGCTCGAAATGTGTACTAATAAACAGAACAATTCAAAAAGAAAGAAAACAGACTGTTCTCTGCTTATGTAATCCGTATGAAATGTGCATTTCTCTTTGGCGCGTTCACTAGTGATCGCGAGTCAGATCAAGAAAGACTGTCTTTTGTTTTATGTTTTAGAAAAACAAGTATTTATGTTAAGTGAAGTAAAGAAAGACTGTCTTTATTTAAATTTTTATTTAAAAAAACAAGTATTTATGTTAAGTTAATTCAAGAAAGACTGTCATTATTTTTATTTTTTATAAAAACATATGTTAAGTGAAGCCAATAAAGACTGTCTTTATTTTATTTTTATAAAAACATGTATTTTTTCAGGAAATAGTTTTTAAGTTCAACTTAAAATGTCAGGAGATACATTGTTGACGTTACTGTTAAAAATGGATGTTTTCGGCAGCTGCTGAATGTAACTAATAGAGTAACTTGTAACTAAGTTACTTTTAAAATCAAGTTATCTGTAAACTAAGTTACATTTAAATCAAGTAATCTGTAAGTTACTTTTTGAAAGTAACTGTGGCAACACTGAGTGCCAGGGACGTGCACAGGGGGGTTGCTCAGGTTGCCCATATGCCCTTCTCGACTCACGTTGCCCTCCCGAGAAAAAAAAGAAAAAAAAAGAAAAAAATCGTACAATGGATGCAGAATTCCACGTAGGCCTAGAAAAAAAAAAAATCGCAAAGCCTCATTCACTTCCATTCGGGCACCGAAAGTGAAAGTCAGTAGGGGAAGGGCAAACTCTGTTTACGTGGCTGCGCGTTGCACGCGACCGAATCATACTACAAATCATGCGTAAGTTGCCCAGTTACCATACGTACCATCAGAACGATCAGAACTGACCGACGAGCAAGAAGCACAACTGAATGTACGGGAAGCCAAAAGGTTAAAAAAGGATTGTATTTTTTCCCGAAATCTAAGCGTTTTTTTTTTAGAAGCGAGTTTTCCCCATCTGTCAATTCAATCCAGATTATTTCTTTTCAAATTAAAAAAAAATAAAAAATAAATAAATGATAATAATTAAAAAAAAAACTATAAACAATAATATGAGGAACTCTTTTTCTCGTGTGTATTTTGGTGACATTTAACATATTACATTTTGTATAGCCTACTGTTTACAAAGTTGCATAAACCTGTCATCTCTGACGTTTTGCGATCTTTATAAATAATAAGACCATAATATGAGGCATTGAGTTTGGACATAAACACGGTCAGATAAGGCAATTTGTATGGGCAAAATTCAACTGAATATATTCAGACATAATACAAAAACTATGAACAAGTGCAAGATTAATTCAATTCACAGAAATATTACTGGAGTGTGAGAACCATTTTATTATGCTGCATGGATTTTCATGACTCGAGTCATGTTTTTCTGTGTCATTATTAGTAGGCTAGTAGTTAAGGTGATGTATTTCAGTTTTTACTTCTTTGTGTATATAGCCTATATTTTAATAAACACCCTGTTATTCTCAGTCCTTCATATAGCCCGTGAGGGGTGCCCTTTTTTCAGGTCAGAGCAACTGCCCCTAAAAATTCCGGTGCACGTCCCTGCTGAGTGCGACCCCCTTTAGAAAGCTTTCCATCGGCTGTGGAGGAGAAGACGATAATCCCATGATCCCACACTCATTCTCTCAAAGCTACACCTTTATTATTGTTTAGAATAAGCGACCTCTAACGGTGAAACTTACATGATGTACCTTTAAGAGAGATTTTAACATGCTTTCACATATTAACATGCAAGTGGTGTATAAAAATATTTAATTATAAACATAATTATAATTAAGCATGTAGCTTTTATGAGCTCATATTAATTAAGAGACTATAAATCAGTTTTTTTTGTCCTGTCTTTTCTTTGTTTCATCACTTTTGTGTCTCATGCACATAATTTGATTAAATGTCAGTTTATAACTAAGATGGTATTACACTTTGAAACATGATTGTTGCAAAGTGAATTACACTTGAAAATTGAAGCGTTGAGTTATGCTCATAAGTTTACACACCCCTTGCAGAATATGCATTAAGAGTGTAAACCTTTTGAATTGGATGATGGGGCTAAGTACTTATTTTGTCTTCGGGGCAAACATCTTGTGAAGGGCAATGCTAAATGAAAAAATATGATCTTCAAACGAAATAAGAAAAATGTACCCGCCTTTGCTCAGCTCTTAATTCATTGTGCTGCCATCTTGAACATCAGTGACTGTTTTCACCTTTTTTAATAGAGTCCCTGAATTGTCCTTAGAGTGAAAAGATGGATCTCAAAATCACATAGTCACTGTCGAAAAGGTTTAAATATGCAGAAGATGCTAGAAAAGCAAAGAATGTGCAAGACCTGGAGGATTTTTCTGAAGAACAACTTGCAGTTCAAGGTCACAAAACATAAAAACAGTCGTCGGTCATCCAGGTATTAAGATTCAAAGGTATGTAAACCTTTGAACTGGTTCATTTGTGTAAATTCACTTATTATTTTGTCTTGTGGAATATATGTAAACACGTGTATAACAGCTTATTCTGAAAAGTACTAAAAATATCATGCTTGTTTTTCAATATTACTAGCATTCTGCATATTCTGCAAGGGGTATGCAGACTTGTGAGCAGGCACGCATTACAAACACATAGTAGACTATCCTGGTGCCAGAATGTTTTCTACCACAGGAATAATTAGTAAATTATTATTTTAATGGGGAAACATGAATCTGAGCCCCAGTCCAGCCCTGATGATTCTCCTCTTCTAGAGCCAGAAAGAACATACTCTAATAATAAAACTAATTCAAGTAAAGTCCTTAAGGCAGTCGAATGCTCAAAAGTTGTTGCTGTTTCTGTAAAACCGGTTGATCTCATATCTGATGTTAATGCATTTATGTTTTTTTGTGTTGGAGATTTGATTTAAATTAAAATTTTACTAATTATTCCTGTGGTAGAAAGCATTGTGGTACCATAAGCCCATCTAATTTAGTCCAATGGCGGCATCCGGACCGGTGAACCGATAGAACCGTTAGACAGCGTTACCGTCTTTCCGCGTGGCAAAGTCATTTAATTCCATTTAAGCTTTTATCTGACTCCATTTTATATCGGACTCCATTTTATAAAGACCTCAAATTTAGTTTGGATTTCCAATTTGTTATTGGTCAATATATAATAGTTTAGCAATACATTTGCTTGTTCTATTTAACTCTTTACTTTATATTTTACTCATTCGTTAGGAAGCTATGTCGCTCAGAGAGTCTCGCGCCGGCCATTTACACGGATCTCACGATCACAAACACGCCAGTCTGATAGATAACCAGAAGTTATAGCTAAAGCAGTTCAACAAGGCCGCATAGTTAGTCAGGAATCTAGAATCCCACCAGATGTAGTATAGTTTTTGTACACGCTCCATCTACTCTGGGATCTAGTGTGTCCTTAACCCTGGACGAAGATTTGCGGAAACATAAGACTTCACTTAATCTACTTGAGAAAATAATTTCAGAGTAATTCAGAATAAAATAAAATGTAATAATTTATTATGTCAGGTTAATGTATCATGCCAATTTCATAATCAGCTGAAATTGATAATCAATACAATAACCCTAAATGCTCAGAGATAAAGAGTAAAAGATGTAGGCTAAACCCGACATTTAGAGAAGTACACAATGCTGGAGTCTTGGAGGTCCTTCAACATTATGGGCTGATCTGAGGTACAGAATCGCCCTGAGCCTCCTGTTGCATTTCTTTATATAGACAGAAACTTCTTTCACATGGAAACATTTGCTAACAATGGGGATTTGCATTCAGACTTTACACCTCTTGGGAGCAGGACACACCCTCCTCTGTAAGCCAAATATCCCTAAACTCTTAAGAACTTTATTACCTTATGGCTTACTTCTTTGGCAATGAGACATTTGTACCAGTCGCACTGAGACATTTCAAGTGATACCAAACATGTATAATACTGTATGATAATTATTCACATTAAACCATATATATTTTTGGGTGAAAATCAGGTGATCTCAGCGTGAGAGAGACGACATGGGGGAGGTGATTGACTCGGGATGCTAGTTTCTCAAGAGAGAGTCAAATGTTAATTTCGAGAAAGGTCTTCTCGGGGAGTGGTCGTTCCTCAACCACACTGCCCAGCATTTCCTAATTTCTCAGTTCTTACACCAAGATAGACTACACTGAAGGGCCGTGGGTTTTCTCCTGCCCCAGCGCCCTGTGCTCTTAATGAAGAATGCAAATATCATTTTATTGTAAACAGACACTCCGAGAATCAAATGCTTTGCGCATTGTTTTCCGATTATGGATTCCTCAACAGAGCGAGGTTTCTGAGGGAGAGAAAAAACATATTATTTTTCTTCTTGTATTATTGTATAGTATGGTGTAATGTTTTGGTAAATTGTTATGATATTCACAAAGATAGAGAGATTAAAATTGGTTGGTTTCTGGTTGTTGCTTTTACCACATTATGCCACATTTAGATTGTGCTTTCTTATGGAAAGTGTAATAATAAGACTAAGCGCTATGGTAATGTGCTCTGATGTATTAATGATCAAATGTGCATGACCAACAAATAAAATACTATTAATAACTGAATCATGATTTTTATCGAACGGTAAACTTGCATATGGCTCACCCATGCTACAGTCCTGAGAACGGTTGACCTCAGCTGGCCAAGCACAGGACTGTCCCGTTCTGATCATGTGTTTCTGTGCCAGAGCTTCCCTCGTCTTTCACATCCTAACTGTTACTATTGTGTACTTCAGATTTGGTCGTGGATGCACAGCGTTCCAGTTGCACTATCCATTTCATAATATGCTGTACTTTATTTCATACCATTTTGAAGATACATATTTTAGAGGCTTTTGAGTAATCATATCACTGAATACTAGGGGTGTCACAATATATCGCAATACATAAATGCAACAATATGTATCGTAGATAGTGACAATGTTGTATTTTTTATAGTAAAAATGATTTAGTGTCAGTAAACTACTTCATATAGTTTATATTCAATACATTATTGAATATAATGTATAATACTGCAATGGGGAATATTTGTGTCCTGATAATGCCAAATGTCTGATGTTACCAGTAAAAAGTGTCCGACTTTATTTTAAATATATCTAGTTAGTGACAGTGCAAGCATATTCATCTAAAATAATTCTGTGTTTTCAGCTTCAGAATCATGAATATTGTTATTCTGGTGTCTCTATTGTCCTGTGCTTTGGGTTTCAGCACCAATACCCTAGCATTTACACACACATAATGTAAAACCAAATTTAGCATTTTAATCAACAGTACATTTTTTGTTAACCTTTTATCCTATGTCTTGGAGTAATTTTGCAGTAATATGTTATCGTGAGTTCAGTATCGTGATATGTATTGAATGACATGAGGGCATCGTTACACTGCTACTGAATACTGAATTATGTCACCATGGTGTTTGTTTTCAGGTGCGTGTGCGTACAGATGTGCAAGAGTTGAGGCAGTGGCAGAGAGAACTGCGGGAAGAGAACTGTGACATCAACAAAACGGTTCAAGACTTCTGGACACGCCAGGAGAACAGAGGTGAACAACACACTCATCATGCTCTCTCTGACAAGCCTTAAAGGAGAACTCCGGGCAATTTTTAAGTTAATCTTGATCGTTACACCTTTGTGAGTACTGTCTATAGAAAAAAAAACTAACCGGATCGGTGCTTGCAACACGGAGCTGTTTCCGCAAATGCCCAGAGCTCCCACTCAGCTAAAACGGCAGTTATGGGGGCATAAACAAAAAGAGTGTCTTTGTACCTCTTAACAGACACAAAATGCAATTAAAATGTCTGTCCAACATGAACAGGGGCCTTACGTGTGAACAAGATGCGTTTAGCAACTTAGCCATTGTTTAAATTCACCTAAATAGTGTTTTAGACAGCAAGCTGTAGTCTCGCGCTGAAGTCCCGTGGGAACTCAGTTGTAGCCGGAAAAGGTAAACAGTGTCCAAAAACTGCTTTATTTCAAAAACATTGTTTAACAAATTAATAAAAGAGGCACAGTGTTATATTGCAGGTGGAAGACGTGGGTAATAAATGGTTAATCCATGTTGCAACACGAACTGGAGGTAAGCAACAGTAATTTGTAGCTAGTTTGAACTACAGAACTTAAAGATCTCCCTCTTCGTTTTTATTTTTGCTGCAGATGAAATGGTTAAACTTCTGTTATCGCGCAGGCGCAGTGAGGGAAAAAACACTGAGTTTAGGGCAATCGGTTCGTAGCTTTGCTTTAACTGTGCGATATAGTCACGAGGAGCGACCAGAAATTCATCCGGCCATCCGATTGCCTGTCGGGAGAGGTTAATCGCCTCTCGTTTCTCCCTGTACACTGCACGAACACTGCACGACAAACCACGCACGACAAAGCTGAAAATTGGTCAGACCGAAAAAGAGTTCGGCTCAAAATCAGACGAAAATCGCACAGTGTATGCCCACCTTTACACAACTACATTACATCACGCAAACACACAGGAGAACAGAGGTGAAAACACACACTCGTCATGCTCTCTCTGACATGCCTTACATTGACACATTACATCACACAAACACACATTTCACACAGACTGGGAAGGCCAAATGTGTTGGGATTTGAGGAAAAGGAGGGAACTGACCAATCTGAAGTATTTGTTGATATCTGAAGTATACCACATTAAAAGCTGAGAGAGAGAGAGTAGAGTTACGTTTAGCAGCGTCATAACAAGCTTCATGCTTTATCACGGCTTTTATGAATGACAATAACTAATTTCTGAACACAGCTCTGTTCTTGTAACTTTTCTAATGTGAGCTGTAATGAACACTGAAATGCAGTGTACTGTATTACTGAACCCCAGAAGCGCCACACCAGGGCCACGACGAGGCCAGTGGTGCTACAGAGGATGCTCATAGACAGCACTTTAATAGAGTTAATTAACAGTTAATAGAGCTGGAATCTCTCCCTGTGTGGAGACCAAGTGCTGTACTTGTGTGTGTGTCTTGAATGGCATCACAGTACTCATATATTGTGTGTATTCTTGCACCCTTAGCTGAGTAGCTCTGGTGATTGTGGCTCGAGAGCGAGACTGAAGTCAGGAGGACAGTCTGTGTTTCCATCACTGTTAACATATCTCCATCTACTGTGGCCTCAACTTCTGCAGTCGCAATATCTGTAACACAATCATACACACATAAATACATTATCTGGATTTAGGGACCTAAGAATCTATATTGTATGCCTGTTTTTTGGGGTTTCATTTATTTTTTTGAATTAATTTCTTATTCTTAAATTAATATTTTTTATATTTGGATTATTGAAATAAATAATATGTGATTACAATCATTATTGAGAATTTATGTGGCATTATTGCAAAAACAAGACCTCAAAAAGACCAGAAAATAACCGGATCCCTGTGGCCCTCTGCTGGATGTATACAGTCTTTACACTTTATTTTCTGAAACTGTATTTTCTACAGATTTTCCTCTAACCAGCAGATGGCAGAATTCTGCCGCTCACACGTCGATCAATATCCAGAAACAACTCGTATTTCATTTTGATAATCACAAGTGGGTTTTTTTTCCATAAAAATGTAATATTTCATATGCAAGCTAATGGTGTAGTTGAGGAATTTAATAAGTAGTTAATAAGTAACAAAAGTACTTCTCATCTATATGTTTATTGTGTCTTGGGGATGTGAAGTAAATGGAAAAAAATAAAAAGATTTATCATTTGTATTATTAAAAATTGACATTTTTTATACAATTCCTCTATACACGTTTACACCAAGAATGTAAACTGGAAATGAGGAGAATTTAAAGATGCACAGATTTATGCTGCGATATAAACAATAACAAAATGTGTATATATTCTATGGGTGATTCTCACGAAACCATTAAAACACCACGGCACTAATGATTTTAAATATTAAACATGTTATTTAGTAATATAAAAAAGCATCACAATAAAGACAATACTGATCTCTACCTTGCACAATGTGTAATTTCAACATGGGAACAATTTTATTTTCTATTTTACTGTATTTTCTGCGAAAATTATCATTACCGTAATGCGTCCAACTTAACTGAATGTATGTTATGATGTAATTTAAACAAATTAAAATTAAAATAAATCTGAAAAAAAAAATGGATGTTCTACTAGATTATTTCAGATGACAGAAAAAATAATTTACTGAATATTCATGTATATTTAATAATGTAAAAAACTAGGAAAATTATGTGTCCATGACTGCGGTTCTCATCCTCCGTAACATTTTTTGAGGACTGTTAAAACGCACATTCAGAATTTAAATAAAGTTTGATTTTGAATAAAGAAGCACATGGGCCAGTTCCTTCAAGATGGCTACTAGGTAAGAAGATCTCTTTATATTTCTCCAATTAAATGTAAAATATTCACTTGTCAGAATGTGTACACGACATATTGATTATCATTACCGAAACAAGTAGTTTTCTATGTTTAGAAAATTGTTAGATTTACAATTTTTTATAAAATTGTACTTCATTAATGTCTAATTATATGCACTGAGTAAAAGATTAGCAAAGTCATCATGGATTCTCTATTGTTAGCAAAACATAGCAAGGCACCTCATCCTCCGAAACACCATTCTCATATACTGCAACCATTTAAGGCCAGTTGCGGTAAAGAGAACTTCTGTTTCGGAAATGAGAATTTAATCATTGTGTACTACTTTTAAATATACCTTATGGATTTAATATGAATTTAAATATTTTTTCTAACTGTTGATATTTTGCTTCATGATTTGTTTCATTGTAGGCAGTCAGCAAGTGAGAAAAAAAAAGTTTTAGCCATGTTGACAAAGTTCAGGGAAAAATTATACAGCAACCACTGCTCGAGGAGTACAGAAGGAAGGATAGAGAGAGGTTAGGTTTGGAGATGTTGCAGGTGTAATCAGCAATAAACACTCTACAGGGCTAGGAAATGTACATGAGCGTACACCCCCACACACACACACACACAGCCTTTTATCCACTACTATAACAGGGCTATATAAATAAATAAATCTGCAGCAGTACGTCATTCATATTAATAAAACACTTAAAAAAACTTCAATATTTTTAATTAATAATTGTGTAATAATATTGTAATAATTATAGTTGATAGTGATCCTGTTCCTGAAAACGTCTCAGGTTACGTATGTAACCCTGGTTCCCTGAGAGGGAACGAGACGCTGCGTTTGAGACGCGGTGGGAACGCTCTGCGTGATTGCGTCATGAAGCACGTGTAAAATCAGTCCAATGGAAGCCCGATACGTCATGGGTGACGTCATAGACCAGGAAACTATAAATCACCCTTGAAAACAGACCGCGACAGCTTCTGAAAAAGTCTGAAGCAAGTCGATCAGGGCATGCAGGAAGTATGGCAGGCAAACGCAGCGTCTCGTTCCCTCTCAGGGAACCAGGGTTACATACGTAACCTGAGACGTTCCCTTTCAAGGGAACTTCGAGCTGCGTTTGAGACGCGGTGGGAACCCCATACCCACTACGCCATAGTGACAAATGCCCGTTCTGTGTGAAGTCCTTGCGCACACTAAGAAGCAAGCAACCTCGCCCCAGGAGTGGAGAGGTCAAGGTCATAAAACCTGACAAATGTATGTGGAGAGGACCAACCTGCCGCATTACAAATGTCAAGAAGGGAAACACCCGAAATTAAGGCCGTAGAGGCCGCCATACTCCTTGTAGAATGGGCCCGTACAGCCATAGGTGAAGGCTGACCGGCCGCTTCATAAGCCAATGATATAGCCTCAACTATCCATTTGCTCATAACCTGTTTAGATGCAGGGCACCCTCTTCTGAGTGACCCAAAACATACAAATAACTGCTCTGACTTACGCCACAGGGCAGCTCTGTGAACGTAGGCATCCAATGCCCAAACTGGACATAACAGGTTCAGTTGTTCCTGATCTGGGGTATTAAAAGGTGGAGGATAAAAGGCCTGCAACACTATTGGGCCCCTAACATTAACTGGGACCTTAGGAATATAACCCGGTCTAGGGTAAGAAATGCTTTCACCATACCAGGTGCAAATTCCAGACATGACGGAGCAACCGACAGGGCATGCAAATCTCCAATTATCTTGATAGATGAAATAGCAAGGAGAAATAAAGCTTTCAAAGTGAGGAATTTTTCTGAAACCTCTTCAATAGGCTCGAAGGGAGCCAGAGCCAGACCCTCAAGTACAATGGCTAAATCCCAAGCCGGTGCTCTAGAGTGCAGTGCAGGTCTCAACCTCAATGTACCACGGAGAAAACGAGTAATCAGAGGATCTCTCCCAAAAGAAGTACCCCCCAGAGGGGTATGATAGGCCGAAATAGCCGCCACATAAACTTTTAAGGTGGAAGGAGATAATCCAGCAGAGAAACGGTCTTGCAGAAAATCGAGAACTGAACCAACAGGGCAGTTAACAGGATCTAACTGACGCTCACCACACCAGGTGGAGAATAATTTCCATTTCAGTGCATACAGTCTTCTCGTGGAAGGAGCTCTGGAATGGAGAATGTCTCAACGACCTCAGTCGAGAGACTGG